GGTAGTGCTGTAGGCTGAGAGCGATGCACGACTAGCCAGTGACCTCCCAATTGAGTAAGCTTTGCGACTTCTTTCTGGGGTGTTCCTGCGCGGTACAGAACGTTTCGACCAGAGTCAAAGTGGACATCTGATGACGTGAGACGTGAGAGAGAGACCAGGCTGGTGAAGAAAGATGGGATTAGCGCTACTCGTTTCAGCGTTGTTGTCTTGATGCCAATTGGTGTTAACAGAGGTATTGTGACTTCTCCCCATGCTTCAATCAACATTTCTGAACCCCCTGCTAGGACAATGTCGTCGTCAGCTGCTGGGGCCTTCCACTGGAATTCAGCAGGGTTGTTGCAGATGTGGACATCAGTGGCAGGATCCAGCGTCCATGAGTGGAGGAGCGGATAGTGTCGGAATGTTAGCTGATTGTTGAATGCGGACGAAAAGACTGCATATGCGTTGTGTATGGATCGGTCTGTAGGCTGATCGCCGGCGTCGATATCGATCGAATCAGGTTCGACTCGCTTATCAGCTTCCTTGCTTTTATGCTTCTTGTGGCGCCGATTCTTTTCCCGAATCTTGTTCAGTAAGCCTCTTGTGTCTGATTTCTCAAATGTCGTAATCTTCTTGGCTTTTTCCGGGTCTTCAACAAATCCTCGTGTTCTGAGAGCTGTGTCAATGTATGGACACTGACCCCAAAAGTGATTGTCTCCACATAGACAGGGCTTTGATGGTGTCTCATCACCTCTTGATCTCTTCTTCTTGTATGGAGATTCTTGGCCATTCAAAGTAGCTCCAAATACACCTCCATGAATGTTTGTCTTCCTTGAGTGTGTCGTTCGATGATAGCGTAGGAAGTTTGCGAGGATGGTAGACAGCTGCGACTGGTTTGGTATAGGCACGTTGCGATTTAAATTCCATGTCTCTTCAGCTTTGAAGATGTTGAATGAGACACTTGCAGCGTATGCAGCATCAACTTGCTTCACAGCTCGTACGAGATCCTTGTGTGCTCGGAAGCCATGTACTTCAGGTAGATCAAGTTGCTTCGCACGGTTGTAGGCTGTGATGAACTCACTGCACCAGTCTTCGATATTCGATCGTCGAGCGTGTAGGACTTTGGCTGCTTCGTACGCCTTTTGAACGCGATATTCTTGATCAGCAGTCGTTGGAGAGTAGAGTTCTTGAAGCGTCTTTATCTGCTCATAGATCGTTGGCTTGTCTTTGATGTGATAGAGTAGATCCTGCTGAATTGTCTTAGTAATGTGTGCTTCAACTTGTCCCAACTTATCTTTCAAGCGTCTGTATTCTTTGATGTCCTTGTAGTAGTTGCTGAGATCCTGATTGTACTGCATGAGAGCCTGTTGAGTAGGCTGAGTTGGTGGAGATCCATCAGCATTGACAGTAGGTGCTGGTCGAACAGGCCTCTCAGGCTTATGGAGTGGAAGATGGATCTGGTCAGGATCAATATACTCCCATACGTCTCCTGCTTCAGCAGTGCGCTTGACAACAAAGATCCAGAGTTCCCAGTTGCTTTGGCCTTGGAGGACAATGTCTGAGGTAACAGTGTTTTTCGACATGCTGGTAGTGACGCTTGTAGTAAGGTAAGACAGTAGAGTAGATAGGTAGGACGGTTCAATAATAGAAAGAGCGGATTAGGCCGGGCTCATAACTGTAGGTAGATTGTGTGTATTCTTCTTCTGATCACCGAGAGGTCTGTGATCTAAGCTTATATACATAGAGTAGTGGGCTGATTGGTCGCTGGATAGTCCACGTGACCATGCAAGGTACCCTGGGCTTACAACAACTCACTCACGAGCAAGAGGAGGAACGCTATGAATGGGCACTGCAACACAACCCAGACCTTCACGAAGAGTATGATAACAATGGCTTCAACTTCCGCGAGGTGGTGTATACTGACGAGACGCCAGCGCGGATAGGTGAGGAGCGTGGCATGCAAAGAACGTGGTGTAAGGAGCAAGAGAGATGGGATGAAGGAGTCAAACATGACCGCAACCGCAAGGACTGCGCTCTCCAGTTCTATGGCTCCTTTTGCTACAACTATAAAGGTCCCTGCCATGTGTATCACCATGAAACTGAGGCAGAAAAGCAGCAGGCAGAGGTGCAATTGAAGCAGGAGAATGTGGATACCTAGAAGCAGGAGAACAAACTTTAGCTCTACGCGCGGCAGAGCCTCTCACAAATAGGTAAGAGTAACGTCAACCACCAGTACAACACTAGAAAGAAGCAGTATGTACCTTCAACTATGGATTACAAGCGTGGCAACTGAGCGCATGGTGGTGTAGATAGGTACCAGCACCGTAAAGGAGCACTTAAGAAGGTCACCCCATGGATTAATTCACTCAAGGCAAAGGGAGTGAAGTGTATACTACTTCAGGATGGTGCTCCTGCTCACAAATCACGTATTGCTCGTGACTACCTCGCTGTAGAGAAGGTTGAGAGGTTGTGGTAGCCAGGTCATTCGCCAGAGATTAACGCATCAGAGCATGCATAGCTATAGATTCAGCGGCACGTGACTAAGAACTTCACCCTTAGCTGTACAGCAAAGCAGTGTAAGCAGCAGTAGGTGACAGAGTAGGAGCGTATGCCTATTAAGGCAATTAATCAGTAGGTGGATGGGATTCCTAAGCAGGTGCGGAGGATCATCAAACACTATAGAAAAAACGACTTCCACGGGTAGCGCAACAATACAAAGTTACCTACAGTGTCTGTGCGCGGGTCGAGCCAGGTCGCGGGTCGAGCCACCCGAACACCAAACCAATATCATTATCCCAACTTCAACGCGTCATAACTTTACCAATATGGACCCAATTCAAGAAGCGATTGATTATTTAGAATCGCACGAAGCTGGAGATAAACCCTCGTATCGCCAAGTCGCAAAAAAGTTCGGTGTTGATCGAACAACGCTGTCGCGGAGGCACCAAGGCAAACAGGTCGACTATGAAGCCCAGGCAGAACACCAGCTATTACTCAACCCACAACAAGAGCAGGAGCTTGTACAATATATAGAAGAACTCACAAGGCGAGGCTTACCACCGACGCGCGAGATGGTAGGAAATTTCGCCAGCGCGGTTGCGAAATGGGAGGTTTCTGAGAGCTGGATTACTCGGTTTCTTCAGCGCCACGCTGACGAGCTCACCACCAAATGGACCACCGGTATCGATCGTCAACGCCACGAAGCTGACAGTAGAGAAAGATACGAGGCATACTTCAATACACTGCACGCTAAGATGCGCGAGTACGACCTTGATGAGCGCAATACGTACAGTATGGATGAGAAGGGCTTCTTTGTCGGCATCGCCTCACGCTCGAAACGTATCTTTAGTAAGGCAGTTTGGAAGGAAGAGAGACATACTCAACCAATTAAAGATGGCAATAGAGAATGGGTAACGCTTATTGCTTGCGTATGCGCTTCTGGAGAGGCACTGCCGCCCGCTCTTATCTACCAGGGATCCTCTGGGATTCAATCGACCTGGGTTAATGACGTAGAGATCGGCAAACATCAGGTTTTCTTCTCCAACTCGCCTTCAGGTTGGTCAAATAATGACCTCGGACTTGCCTGGCTCGAACAGGTGTTTAACCGCTATACTAAAGCCAAAGCGCGACGGCGATGGCGCCTTCTGATCCTCGACGGCCACGGCAGCCACATTACTAAGGATTTCTTGACTTTTTGCGACGCTAATCGAATCCTGCTTGCTGTCTTTTCCCCACACTCACCCCACAGCCTTCAGCCGCTTGATGTGGTGCTGTTCTCGCCGCTCGCGACGCACTACACTACAAGGCTCAATGGCCAGCTCCAGCAGTCGCAAGGACACCCAATAAGCGCAAAGAAAGCTTTCTTTATAAACTTCTGGGCGGCATGGAGCTCTACAATGAAGTCAGCGACGATTAGGAAAAGTTTTGAAGCTACAGGCGTGTGGCCGATGGACGCAGAGCGTGTACTAAAGCGCTTTAACAACCACGCTCTGCAACAAGATTATGACTCAGAAACTTCACACAGCAGCGGCAGCGATACCCGCAGAAAGTTTTATAACTTGCTTGACGAGCTAGTTGAGGATAGAGCTAGAGCGCAAGCCAGAGAGCTGCTGAGGAGAGTAGAGGCGCTACTAGTCAACAACAAGCTTCTTCGCGAAGAAAACGCAGGTTTACGAGACGCTCTTACCACTAGGAAGAAGCACAAGAAGAAGCGCAATACGCTAGACCTTCAGCAGCGCGAGGAGTACTATAGCGCTGGAGTTTTCTGGTCTCCAAGGAAGCTCCACGAAGCTGAGGCACGCGAGGTGACGAAGCAACGCGAAGCTGAAGCTGAACAACTCCAAAAACTTCAGGATAAGGAGCTGAAAGCGGCGGCAAGGTTATACAAGAAGAAGCAAGCTGAGGCTGCAAAAGTGGCTCGACAAGAAGCCGCTGAGGAGAGGCGCAAGGCGAAGAAAGCGCGGGCTGATGAAGTAGCTGCAGCTCGGGCGCTCAAGAAACAGCAACGCGAAGCTGCAACCTCACAAAAATCTCACGATACTGCTAGAAAGTCTAAGCGAAAAGTTCCACACAGTCTAAACAAAATTCCAGCAAAGCGTTGTTGTGTTGTTGGTGTTCAAACTGGGCTTGAAGCTGCACCTGAGCTGCCGCCTCCTCCAACTAAGACCACCTGCACACGCTTAGTACGACCACCTAAGAAATATTCTGAGTAGACGGAGAGCTTCGCATATATCTGTATATTAATACACTAAGAAATCTCGTGATAATCGCTATTGTGAGTGGCTGTACAGCCTCATCTTTTTCTCTATCTCGTGTTGTTGGGGTGGCTCGACCCGCGCACAGACACTGTACTACGCAGTCTAGCGTGTCTAAAATGGCACGCGGCACTGCTTACGAAAGCTTGGCAGCCTTAATCGATGACTCTGTGCTTCCGGCCCTTGTTGTGTTCTCCCACATTTCATAAAGTCTTGTACATAGAATACTACTACTACAAAGTCTTGTGTTATCGATCGTTTATCCTCATGGCACACCAGGCACATATCATTCCCTGGCAGACACTGGTCGACAATCTGAAATACAAGCACTGCAATCCACGCAACCACGGCATCACAAATCTGTACCTGCGCAACACGAGGCCCCACCAGGAGAAGGAACTGCAGTACTTTGTCGGCGGCTTTGATCGTGCACTGTCAAAATATTCCGCAATTGAACGCAAAAAATACGATGTGCTCGTGGTACCCCCTCAGTTGGACGATAAGGTTATTTCAGAAGATGCGATCAAGAAGATGGCCAGGACAGTGCTTCGATACAAAGGCAAACTTGATACCACACACACTTCCGACTCTCTCGGCGGTGTGCTTTCCTCATTCGAGTGTACCACTAGACGATTTGTATCCGATACATACCCGGGAGACAGCGAAATGTGCGACTGCATTCACGACGCTTGTGAACAAACAAAAGCAATGCTACTACATGGAGAGATGGACTCGTTATTGCGACTGGCGGCGCACCCCTCTGTATACTTTCACAAGTTTTGGGATGAGAATCAGTATGCGAATGCGCAGGGCTTCGGCCTAAGCAAGCTCAAAGATTCAGCAATTCAGGCATACATTTGCCTCAATGTGATGTTTCTCAAGCCTGAGCTGTATAACCCAGTTAGTCGTAAGGCGTTCATTCAGGAACAAGCCAAGGCAAACCGAACAACATTCCAGCCGGACTTGTACGATTATCGGCTGACAGCAGCATATCAGCATATGTTGTTGTGCTGCACGGGTGTCTCTTACGGGCTGGGCCACTACGAAGCACACACATATCCACATCGCGAATTTTTCGGCATACCGCGCGGCATGCTCCATGTCGAGTCTACCAACTTCCCATACAAGCGCCAACCGAGGAGCCATCTCGGGACGATCCACATTTCGGACCTTGTTGATGACCAGTTCAAGGGCATATACATGGCTTCAAAGGCGGATGTTCCCATTGTGTTGGAGCTGATAAAAACGATGGGGCTACCTACCGAGCTCGCTTTGCATATCATGAGCATGGCAGATTACACGCCCGTAGGGCGAATGTTTGTTCGTGACGATCCACTGCATTCCGCAAATACAGATGAGCTGAAGAAATATTTGTGCTATTGCTGGAAGTTGCTTGTCAGGATTGATATGCTATGTAAAGCAAGTGGCCAGTGGCTAGATTGGGAAGCTGAAGCGACAGACGCGATATGTACTTTGTTCGAAATGAACAGCCCTAGTCGCCGTAAAGTACAGAAAGTTTCCCACACTGGCACTGAATTCAGTGGACGGACACAGAAAGTTGTATTCGTATAATTTTGATATAAGAGTATTGGTTTAAGTGAGTGCACATCTGTATCTTTCGCGGGTTAGGCGGCCGAACTTGAAGTAAATGAATGGAGCCGGTGCTAGCAGGCAGACACTATCGCCGACAATCAAACTACCACAACTCACACCAAGAGCATCAAACACATACTGAGTGAGCAAGGGCGGCAACCCTAGCTGCAAAAAGGATGACGGTGTTTGCTGCCAAAGCTCTCACAGGGTAATTGAGGTAAGTGTCCGTCAAGTAGTTGAGATAGGCGTCGAAGATCAGCAAGATGGAGCCCTAGAGGATGACCCAAGCGGGGGTGTCACAAGATGCTACGAGCACGTGTTTGATAGCTTACTAGGAGCGTTACTTGTGGCTACGTACGATATCTAGTGGAATACAAGACGTTGCGTGAGGAAGCAGAAGCAGAATACAGAGGCGGCGAGGAAATATAGGTAGGGCCCGTGCGCAAAGCGCGGGCCTCAGCTGCTCTCAGCTAATCAACAGGTGTTGGGTGCTCAATACGCGCCCAGCGTTTGTGATATCGTGTAGGTGTCAAGGGAAACACGGTGGTTACCGTGACAGGGACCTAACCGATATGATACGGCGGGACAGCCCTACTCAGGTATGGTGGCACGGAATACCCCCTATTCCAAAACTAAACCCTTTCGAGAAATTACGATCGCCGCTTGAGCCAACCCCCTAGAGATACAATCGGGTGCCAGAAGTCTGTTCGCGCTATGCGCTCGGGCCACCAACACCACTATTATTGCAAACTTCAAAGCTATGCAACTCTATAGAACCACATTCAAATATTCAATTGAGGGCAGCAAATTAATCGCATTAATCTTAATACTTTGTTTGATACCCATTTACTTGTTCAACAGCGTGGAGGCGGTGCGGCATTGACGTGATAAGCTTTTTGATCAGAGTGTTAGGTATAGCCACCCACGCCTCCTTCAAACCAGCTTCAAACCTCACCCACTCCTCTGGCGAGTCTCCTATCGTATCAAACTCAGGATAGAGCTCATGGACCTTCCTTTCGAGTGTCCACCATAAGTGTTCAATAGGGTTGAGGTCAGGAGAATAGGGGGCCAATCAATCGTTGCAACACCATGCTCCTCGAGCCAGCCTCTTGAGAGTGCAGCAGTGTGAATAGGTGCGTTGTCCTGCATAAACCACTCGCCAGGTCTGTACTGATCGGTGAGACCCTCATCGAGGGCTTTAACGTAGCTAGAGGCCGTATATCCGTTGCGCGTTGATGGTGTATCGCGGGTCATGATTACTAGAGGACTACTGCCAACTCGACCTCCTGGTGTCATCCATATCGCGCCCCAGATCATACGCGCAGGCTGCCTAGCAGTAGAGACCTCCTCTATCATCTTGTGTGACCATTTATCCACTGGTAACGCCATACCCATTGAGTGTTGTGGCCAGAGCCTTAGGCGAGGCTACACTCGTCACTAAATTTGAGAGTCTCCCTGTGCCAGTCGAAGCTACGCCAATCCTGAGCAAACTTAAGACGTTGTTTGGCGGTAGATCTATTGATTTTTGGTCTGCGCTTTGCTCGAAACTTGCGGTAGCCCTCCTCTTCAAGGGCGGGTTGCACTGTACGCTTTGAAACGTTAGGGTAGGCCTCCTGGCCATCCCACAGGCCAGCCTCCTTGAGGAGCTCATGGTACTCTATACCAGGGGCTTTTTTTTAGCGATTCGAAGCAGCCGACGACGGTCTCTACTAGTTAAAATAGGTGGACGGCCTGTACGATCGCGCGTGGTGGTGCTAGAGGTGGCCTCCCATCGAGCTATCGTTTTCTGTACAGCGCGTTGTGTGCAGCGGAGCGCGTTGGCGATTTCTTTAGTTGCTGCACCAGCCTCTGCCTGCGCTAAGATAAAATCGCATTGGCGTTCTGATAATTCACCACCTGGCATTCGATTTCCCGAAATTTTGGCGCTAAATGACCTCATATTGATGGAGTTGTGTGGTGTTGCAGAAGATACCTATCTTGTGATCTCATGTTGTTGTTGGGCCCGTGCGTTTACAGTGTCCGTGCACCCAACGCCCGGAGTCACTGAACGCCCGGCACGCAACATCTACACAGTATTTCAACGCGTAACAACTCAACAACCATGCCAGGCCTGCAAGATGCGCTTGCAGAGATTCGTAATTTAGACCCAGGCGATAAACTTGTCTATACAAATATTGCTCAAAAACACGGTGTTTCGCGCACAACGTTGTCCCGCGCGCACCGCGGTGTGCAGGTCCCTCAGGGCGTCGCTGACCCAAACCAACGAAAGCTCACCCCACAACAAGAAGCAGACCTTGTGCAGTATATAGAAACACTGTTAGCGCGTCACTTGCCACCTACGAGAGCTATAGTACAAAATTTCGCGTCTAAAGTAGCCTAGGATCCTTGCTCTGATAGCTGGGTTACACGCTTCCTGCACCGTCACCGCGACCGACTCACCTGCCACTAGGCGACGGGTATAGACTCCAATCGCCATAACGCTAAGTCTGGATATAAGTATAAGCTTTACGTTGACCTACTGCAGCAGAAGATCACTAAGTATGACGTTAAGCCAGAGAATACGTACAATATGGATGAGAAGGGCTTCGCAATTGGGGTACTTGGAAGGTCGAAGCGCATCTTCAGTAGGCGTTAATATGAGAAGAAGGAGGTTAGGCAGGCTCGTCAAGATGGCTCACGTGAGTGGGTGAGCTTATTGGCTACAATCTGCGCAGATAGTACTGCTCTGCCTCCTAGCATCATATTCGCATTAAAAAACTCCACAATCCAGAGCTATTAGGTGGCCGATATTGAGGCAGGAACACACCCAATTCACGTGGCTTCTTCGCCTACTAGCTGGACAAATAATAATATTGGATTGGCTTGGCTTGAACAGGTATTTAACCGCTATACAAAGCCAAAGGCGCGCAGAAGTTACAGGCTTTTGATAGTAGATGGCCACGGGAGTCACCTAACGCAGGACTTCATTGACTACTGCGATCAAAATCGAATTATACTCGCTGTGTTGCCACCTCATAGTACACAGACGCTGCAGCCGTTGGATGTAGTCTGCTTCAAGCCACTCTCCTCCGCCTACGCCTCCGAGCTCGATGACTACCTCCAGAAGTCTCAAGGCCTATCGCCATTGACGAAAGGTGACTTCTTCCACCTATTCTGGCCTGCCTAGGTGCACACATTTAAGGAAGAGCTTATACAAAACGCCTTCACTGCCACAGGGATAAGCCCGATGAACCCTGACGTTATACTGGATAGATTCCGCCACGCAACACCTAGCGACTCAGGCTCAGTTTCTTCTAGTTCTACAGCCTATTCTGCAGAGGATTAGCTTAGAGCTTGCACTACACTGCATGCAGAGGTGAAGGATCCTCGCAGTGCAGGTGCACGGAAGCTTAGCCAAACTATCCACCACCTATCGACACAGGTAGAGCTCCTTCACAACGAACTAGAAGGCTTGCGGCAGAAGCTATACCTAAAACAGAAGCGTCAGAAGCAACCTAGCAGGCAATTAGACTTGCAACAGCACCAGGAGTATCACGGCGGGGCGATAGTGTGGTCTCCTCGAGCTATTCAAGAGGCGCGCGTCCGCATGGCAGTTACTGAGCAAGAGAAGGAGGAAGAAGAGCTAAGAAAGGCAGAGATGAAGGAGTTAGCAGCTGCTAATAAGCTATACAAGGAGAAGATTGAGGAAGAGAAGCGTCAAAAGCGGGCGAGGGAGAAGGAAGAGCGTGCAAAGGTTAAGGCAGAGGAACGCCGAGCAATAGACGCGCGGAAGGCTGCCAGAGCCGCTGCTAAACAGGCTCGCGACTCTGCAAAGGTATACAACAGTCCCAAAGAGGCAAATCTACAACCTCAAAAGCTTCTGTAGTCAAACCAAAGCCTGCGCGTCGTGCTGTAGGTGCTCGTAGTCGCCCGAAGCCTGCGACGCCTCCTCCGCCCGTGCGAACCCACACTACACGTAGCGGCCGCACCGCCACCTTATATAAATAATATATATAGAGGAACTTGATCGCATATGTCTATAGAGTACTCCACCAAAGACTTTCGTAGTAATAACTATTGTACGTGGCTCTGTAGCCTCATCTCTGTGATGGGCTTCAAGGCTCGGAGCGGGCGTCGTGACTCCGGGCGTTGGGTGCACGGACACTGTACCGTGTCCGTGCACCGAACGCCCGGAGTCACCGAACGCCCGCTCCGGCACCTTCATGCCCACCACAGAAACGAGGTTATAGAGCCACATTCAATAGCTATTATTACGAGAATCTTTGTAGTAATAGACTATGGACCTATGCGATTATGTTGATGCCTGCCACACCTTTTTTGGTTTAATTTTGCGGCCACGGCTGCTCGTTTTTGTCTTGGGAGTTGGGGAACGCTCATGAACAACAGGTTGACTACGAGCAGCCGCACCACCACACTTCTGCTTCTTTCTAGGTGCTGCAACCTGTGGAACCTTGCGCTTGCCTCTTTGGGATAATTGTACAGCTTTCTCAGCGTCGCGAGCTTGCTTTTGACGCTCTCTTTCAGCCTTGCGTTCTGCTACTTCTTCTGCTTTCTTGGCTTTAACCTGATCTCGCTCCTCCTTCTCCTTTACCCGCGCCACACGCTTTTCTTCTGCAATCTTCTCCTTATATAACTTATTAGCATGTGCCAACTCCTTCATCTCAGCTTTTTTTAGCCCCTCCTCCTCCTTCTCACGCTCTGCAACCACTGCGCGAGCGCGCGCCTCTCGGAAGGCTCTGGGTGACCACATCATCGCTCCACCATGATACTCCTGATGCTGCTGCAAGTCCAATTGCTTACTAGGTACTTTCTGACGCTTCCTCTTTTGGTATAGATTCTTGCGCAAGCCATCAAGTTCGTTGTGAAGGAGCTCTACCTGGGTTGATAGGTGATGGATAGTTTGACCAAGCTTCCGAGCACCTGCACTGCGCGGATCCTTCACCTCTGCACGCAATGTGTTGCAAGCTTTGAGCCAATCC